AAAATAAATATGATATACGTGCGACTGTTATAATTTCTTTATTACCTATTATTTCTTAATCCCTTTAAACTCCTCTTCAGAAATGTTCACTGATCACGAGCGCTGTCTCACAAAACCACGATTGTAGAAAGACGTCAACAATCTTGAGCTATGGCGTCTTTTCTAGTGTGACGTCAATAATGCCGCCCAGGTGGCGTAACCAAACAATGGTGAAGTGATATTTGCAACAGAGCATATCAGTAGATTTTTATGAACTCTGTTAATTCTAACCACATGGGTAATGCATAATTGCATTGCACTTATCTCAAATGACAATTACGAGAACTTTTAGCTGTGATCCAATTTTTAATAAAGACTCTCGAAACTAGATATATTGGAAAATTCCAGTGAAAAGAAAAAACACTTTAGGGGAATAATAAGCATGTTCAATGGCAGTGTCTTGCAATATTTAGCTATCTTAACCTCGCACACTGAGATACATTTGTCTTTGCAGGTGAAGGCTATGAGTCCCATTATGGTGTAGCGAGCCTGAGTGGGAGATACTCCGACGGGCTGCTGTACGAGTGCAAGGCCTGGAGTGGTGTACACTGTGCCACGCAGTGTCAGGCACACGGAAACTGTCACATGTACAGCTACCAGAAAAAACAGGCTATCTGCACCCTCTACAATAGAGACATGTCATCATTCACTTTGACGTCCGAAACTGGATGGGTTTCGTACCAACTTCGTTATTGTGATTAAAGCGTTAGTTTCTGAATGGGGAACACGTTATTGGTGAAGTTTCTAGTTATTTCCCATCAGAACATGCACACAGACTGTATTGTACACAAAGTGGTATACATGTATATTTAGCCGCCATATAGCTGGACTATTGCTGAGTGCAAACAAACAAACAAACAAACAAACAAACGAACAAACAAACATGTATATTTAGAGAGAAATATAACGTAATAAGATTGCAGCACTGGCTGTTTCAGCAACAATTTGGGGTTATTGTGGCTGGTGTCACAAGCTGTATATATTGCAGGTAAGGAACCATTACGAGGATAAATGGCGTCAAAAGGCAAATCGGTTCGTACAAAACTGAAATGTGAAATCAGCTAAAGACCACACAAGACCAATGATTAATTAAAGAATTACATTATCGTATGTTTACAATTACAAAAGATCATATGATGGATGAAGTAGCAGAGCCAGAAGATTCAGGTTTCATAAAATTAATCAGTGCACTCGAATGTTCAGAAGAGGAACGTGCGCCGAAAATGTGTTGGAGATTGGCAGGAATTCGGTGATTTTTATAGGTATCCAGTCTGCACTATAGATGAGACAGTCATAAAAGGCGCTCGTGAAAGGCCTGAAATTGCCCTCGCCTTGCCAGCCAGACGTTTAGCATCTGTCACGTTCGGAACCTCTCAAACTTTGAAGTCTATCATGTTTGTTAACAATAAATCACAATTACGGTGCAACTCGGCGATTGCTGGTTTCAATAGTTTATGAGCGTCTCGTTCGTTTGCTGATACTGACAATGACCAGAAATTAATCCACAGGCATCTCTACATAACAGTATGATTGGTACATGTCTTAGCATTTATTACATAAACGCTTTGTGCATAGATCTAATTGCATTTTTGCTGGAGTGTTTTCTTTGCTTCTTTAAACTATTCTTTAGTATGTGTTGAACAGTTTCTCTTTGCCTAAATTTCACAAATGTGAAACAAAAATGAATTTTAGACAACAGTCTTTTATCAACCCGTGTGTGCCAGGTTATTGCAATGTAATACTATTGGAAGTGAACCAGCCAAGTAATGTGTCGAAATATGTTCATGTTTTTTTTCAACACCAACATCTTTTAGTGAATATCTGTCTTCGTTTAGGTATCTGAATTTGATAAAATGTGTGTAATTGTAAATATGTTATGACTTTTTTTGTTGTGTTAGTATTTTTTCATTGTAATTGTCGAAATGGCATCTGGAGGAAATAAAGAATCCCACTTTCTCTTTCCCTCTCTCATTTTAATTTTGTATTGTCCACCTGACATATGCAGTTTCTTATACGACTCTTGCTTAAAAGCTGTTTGATCAAGGCTACAACGTTCAAGGCCTCAGTGCAACATTCAGAATGGAACATTGGTATCATCACTATTTATAATCTAAAGTAGCTATTAGTTGTCCGTTAAGTGGCACATGACTATGTGTAAGGAAGGAAGTATGAGAATGTTATCAGTATGTGTTAGTTGACCTTGTGATGGGAGGCCAATGAGTTTCAACAGTATTTCAGTTATATCACGGCGTGTCAGCTTAATGTAGGAGGAAAGCTCGAAGTGATGCTCGAAGGTCTCAGACGTTTACCACTTCGGTGAAACCCACGAGCACGGGTATGGTCCTGACAAACCTAGAAACTTCTTCATGAAGTGCGGCTTCAAGTCCAGCAAGATTTAGAACTGGGGGATCACGATGTCTGACTTTCCGGTCAAGAATGTCCCAGAGATGCTCAATCGGATTAAGATCCAGACTACAGGCCGGCCAAGGAAGAGTGGCAACAGCTTCTTGACGCAACACTGCCCGAGATCTGTATGGTCTAGCATTGTCGTCCATGTAAACAGGTCTTGTCTGAAAAGGATGGTTGTCGAAATGGGGGACTACCACTGGACGAAGAATGGCATCGTGGTATTGTTGGCCATTCAGGTTTCCACGAATTGTCAGCGGAAGTCTGCAGCCGTAGGAAACACAACCCCATATCATGACAGGCCCCCGCCACATGCTAAGGTCTTCTGGATGTTCCTTGGTGCACAACGAGTGTTACCTTGCCTCCAAACACGTATTCGACCACCAACAGTTCGTGGCAGCATTCGACACTCGTCAGACCATTGAATGCTTCTCCAGTTGGCCAAATTCCATCGACTACGGGCACGACACCATATCAGACGATTCAACATGTGCCTCTCTGTCAGTTGAGGACGTTTTACTGGTCTTCTGGCGTTATAACCAGCCACTCTGAGGCGACGCCTTACGGTCATCGTCTAGAGTCTCTGATGGGTAATCCACTGCAGTCTTAAATCTGTTGAAGTGGCAAATGGATTTCGTCTGACTATCCTGAAAAGACGTCTATCCTCTCTGTAAGAGTACTTTCTTGGCCTACGAGACCTATGTCTGTCATTGACATCATTGGTTTGACCATGTTTGACAATCAAACGAGTGATAACACTGTGATGACGACCCATTTGTCTTGCAATAGCCCTGCATGACATGCCAGCATTTTTTATGCCTATCACTTCCCATCTTTCAGCGTTCGTTACCTTTCTCCTCGCCATGGCTGATTTTCAACCTCTATTGGAAGGGGAATCTCACACAGGAGCAAAATGCAACCACGTGGGGGGAACCTTGAAAGGGGGAAAGCCTTTTGGAAATTCAATAATAGTCTGCCCTACGATCCAGAGTATGTAATATATGTCAAACAGTTAAACAATACTACAAAATAACAAATAATTGTGGAAAACATCTAACTATATAAAAAAAAACTATTTTAGGAAGCTTTGCTATGCAATGTATGAGGATGCACGATAAAATACTCACAAATAAAAAAATGGGAAAAAATTAATGAAGAAAAAGAAACTAATGAAAAGTTTGAAATAGATGAGGAAAATGACGAAGACAGAAAAATCCAGAAGAGATTGAAAAAAATATAATAACAAATGGAACATAAAACTGACGGAATTATAGTGAGAGCTAATGCAAATTGGCAGGAGAAATACTAAGTCTTTCTATCATTTGAAAAACAAAAGTTCCTTAATAAGGGTATTACTAAACTTGAAAGCAATAATAAACTTTTCACAGATGCCAAAGATATTATTGATCATGTTCAGAAATACCATCACACAGTTCATAAACAAATATATATACAACTAAAGACACAACAAATGTTTATTTAGAAGATATGTTCAAACAAGTGCTTCGGACTTTGAAGGAAATGAAAAATTACAAAAGTTCCGGCCCATCCGGATTCACGGCAGAATTCTTCAAAAACAATGTTGAAAAATATGAACAAATTCCTAGCATGTATACCTTAGAAAGATCAATCAAGAGAGTAAATGAAAAATACCACCCTATATCCACCCTGAACTTGTCTTATAAGATAGTATCAGCAGCAATAGCACCACAATGTCACTGTACGTTTTTTCTTTCAAGCACTGTTTTCTTTTTCGCTTGTTAGGAAGTGTCAATGTTGCTATAATCTTGGACTACATTCTTCCTGTACAGTCGTGGCATATTCTCAAATAGTTTCGCCGCAACATATTGTTAAGCGTTGATTCCCAAACTGAAACAGTTTGTTGACCCAGAATCTGTACGTAAAAGTGTGAAACCAACAAACAACCAACAAGTAGTATACAGTCAACAAATGTATTACAAAATTAACTAGGTTTACAAATTACTGCAAAGCAGTTACAATGGCAGTATACCATAGAGTGGTGGTACACTATTCAGTGACAGTATATAATATGATGGCATTGGTCAGTATCAAATACCAAAACAGAGTGACGATAGCAAAACTCAGTGATAATAATACATCCACCCAGCAGCGACAGTGGTCAAGGGATGTGATGAGTGCTCATCACACGAAAGCTGGTCTTGGTGAAATGAAACGTTGAGAGTAAATTACTAAGTTTGTATTAATTTCGCCTTGGTCTCGTCTGTGTAAGGTGTGAGTCTATGAGATTAACGACAAGGGATGTGTCTATATAATTCCAGAATATTCAACATGTAGTATAGCCCTAATTTACTCAGTTCCAAAAGTGCGTGATAAAGCTAAGACTAGATACCAAAAGAGATACACACACGCCCTATTCTTGACAGATAGTCTGAGCATTATCTAGATATTCATTAGAATTGTTCCAGGTTGCGAAATACACAACTTTCCTTATCTGTTGTCAAGGCTTGGCAGCACCTGCTGTCTTCCAGCACCTCGGCCGATATTAGAGATAATATACTTCTACATGAAGTAACAGTCAGCATGTTCCAGGATATGATCATCTTGTGTTTGATTGGATTGGCGTCGATACAGCAATTCACTGCGTCCCTGCGCACAGAACATATCAGGGTAAAAACTGACCATGTGTTACAGTTAATTGATGACATGTTTGTTGGCGTCACCATCGCCGGCAGTCAACTGAGGTCCAATCTGAAGTATCACAATGTCAGGTACACATAACATATGTACAACTACGTCTGATCGGTTTCTTGCATGAAGTATGTTACGTGGTTTACGGGCTTGTTCGCGGATCCTGGTTGGTCGGTGGGAAAGAAAATAAACAGAGAATGCACTTTTTAGGATCATCAGAATACATAAAGCAATAAACCGTTTCCATAGCCACCAATAATCTCGATTTTACGATTCCGGCTATATCATGAGTATGTGTTTAAGAGTCAATATCAGATAGTGATGATACAAGGTGTTCGCAAGAAGGTGAGCGTACCCTGCCCCATCGGTGGCACCCGTCACAAACACATGCAAAGTCAAGTCAGTTGTTTCTCTGAAAAACACGGGAACATATGTCAAAATAGCGAATTCCGTCAAACATAGTTTTTGTTACTGATGCGTCAAAAGTTTGAAATGTCCTCCACACGTCTTCCATAAAACGTTTTGAGACCTTTGACCCGTGAAGATTAGGGTAGAATGGATCTTCAGCAACCATTGCTTGCCATAAAAGCCGACTATGCTTGTCGTAAGAGGCGACTAACTGGATCGGGTTGTCAGGCTCGCTGACTTGGTTTGATGCATGCCATCTTAACCCAATTGCGTAGATCGATGCTCATGATGTCGGTCACAAGATTGTCTGGTCTAGACTCGATTATTCAGAGACCCCTGTCATACAGATGGAATATTGGTGTGTGCGGCGTTACAAACAACAACAAACCAACAAACTGAGGCCTTGAATGTTGCAACATTGAACGAATAGAGCAAATTTTGAGTCAAATGACGCTCTTTAAAATATTGGTGAAATCTGGGATTGTACCTCTAAAGTTGAGAAAAGTCGATGCCGAAGGCTGAAGTTGTTGGAATATTTCTCGAAATGTAGGACAAGTTGTTGACTGGACAGTTGAAGTCTTGTGGATATATTTTTGTCACTCTGAAGCTTTATGCTTAGAAGAGTATCCATTCCACATCAAGCTAACACCTTATATATATTTAGTTATTTTCATGATATAGCAAAACGGTCGAACAATTGTTGCAATGTTCGCGTAGAACACAACACATACACCAAACATTGTAATCAGTATCCTAGCTTATCCAGCCTAGAAAATGCCTAATCTCGTAGAAGAACCTGGACCATTTCACAGTCACATGTTTGTTCCGAGCCCGATTCAGGATACCGTAACCTACAGTTATAACAAACTCAAATGGACCACAACTTTAAGTTCGTTATAACCGTCTTTCGTTAAAAACATACATACATCTAGGCAGTAAACGCTGGGGACCAAAAATTATGTTCGTAATATCCGTGAGTTCGTTATAACATGGCGTTGAAATAGCCATCATGCATGCGACATAAGAAATGGGTAAAAGTGATGTATCAAACTAGACTGATTATACACTAAAGTATGCATTTACTCATCAGTGTCTAGTGCCATAGCAAAGCTACGGATGCTATTATCGGTTAGCAATTGTTTCTTCACGATATTTACAGCTTCTAATTTGACCGGGCTGTCGGGTAGGCTGGTGGTAAGTTAAAGTGTCATGCTGAAGGTCCCGGTTTGTTTCGAAACATGGGTACAATGTGTGAAACTTATTTCTGGTGTCCCCGTCGTGATGTTGCAAGAGTATTGCTTAAAGACGCATAAAATATAACTCACTAAGGCACTATAATTTGAACATCAGTATATTTTTAACAACTTCCCTGTTTTAACAGCTCTCCAAAACTGCTGGCTCTTGGAAAAGCTTTAGCACCGGGGTATCTGAGAATCGGAGGCTCATCAGTGGACGCCATGGTGTTTGACCCGACTCACAATATAGCCACTGGGCAGCAGTTCCAACTCCCAGGTGATAGCTGTATAAGATCGTTATATCTTCCTAGAAAAAAAGCTTATAAAAATGACTTTCACTCTACTTCCCAAAGGTACTACAGAGGCCATAATGGCTACACCGGGCTACCTGATACAAACTAAATATATAATCAATCTCCAACAAGAGTCGATTCATTTTGAATAAGCTTTTTGGTCATTCTATCAAACTACCACAGCTGTTGGTTTTCTCTGTACAAATGGAAATTTGACCGAAGTTTTATGCACAGTGGGTTCTGAAGGTTGGATTGAATTATACCTGTAGGGACATCTGACTTACAATAAAAGTTATATATTTTGCTGTACATTGAAACCTAATTTGTGCGGACCGTGGTAATATTGAAATCGCGTTTTCCGAACATCGCAGCTGAAGATGCTCACCTGTATAGAAAGGAACAGTACTTTGTTCCCATAATTAGTTAATCCGGACATTGCTTGACAGAGAACTTTGCCGAGGTTGCTGGTTGACACTGTATCAAATAACCATGTGACTGATGGATTTCTTTATTTACATAATCTTATTCCATCCGTCACGCTTTAAGATTCAGATATGAGCAAGTATGCCTTGACTCATTATTGAAACTTATGAACGTGAACAACGTATTATTAGAACATACGCAAATTGAGAAACACATATTTTCAGTAAACACCTGGGATGATCTCAACATGTATGTTCACAAGATTGGGCTAAAACTGGTGATTGGTCTCAACCTGATGCTCCGCGATGGAACTAAGTGGAACCCATCAAATGCTAAGCAGTTGCTCAAGTATTCCTCTGACAAAGGATACACTTTTGCAGGGATTGAACTGGGAAATGGTAGGTTTTGAAGCCATGTGTATGTCGCATCAACCACACCTAAATAATATCCCTGTGGGCAACAACTTAGACCTGTATGAAATGACCAAGAAAGATCGGTGGTCAGGTTGTTCATCTGCGAGCGTTCATATCGTACTCCAACAGCCTAGCCTGTCTGATCCGATTACCTTCATCCCACTGTTATATTGCTGTAAAGTTGCGGCTTTGAATAATAGACAAACATAACGTATAAATAGAGGATTATCTGCTTCATGCATATTGTCATCAGTGTTAATACTTGAAGAACGATTTAATATACAGTCAAATACCGTTGTGTACAGGTTAAAGGGGCGTACGTTAATACTTCGAGTACAACAGTGTTTGACTGTAGTTTGTATATTTATTCACTTCGCGACAAATGTACCACCATTGATACAGGTTTTCCTGTCATGCTTGATGTATTTATTATCACTGTACATATTTTTCATTGAGAACCAAACTTGTACTATCGTCACTGGAATACTACTGTCAGTGATGTTCAGCTGGGAAGCGACTACAAGGAACTAAAACAAGTCCTTCAAGGAACGGCCTATAAGGACAGTCTCATCCTTGGACCTGACATAGCCGGTTATAAAGACAAGTACATTAACAAGTGTGTACCAAATTCACGTTGCACACCCTGTACAACGAGGGAATAAGCTGCATGGTGATCAGGGCTAGATTGTTGTTGTTAATCTTAATTGAGCCATATCTATGACTAGTTTGTACTCTTATAAGCATTCTCTATGTTAGAAAAAACATCACACATCAGATGTGCTATTTGCACAAATGCTAACGACGGTAATGCAAAAGTACTTTCTTTGTCCATACCAACTCTCCAATGTGACCGTGCATTTCCAGCTTCTTGTCCCATGGTGGAGCCAGTGTCATAGACGTCTTGACCATCCATCAGTGAGTGTACTTCCTTCCGGGTGAAGTATCATGGACATTGACTACACTAAAGTTTTAATGTCACGTGTAACAATTGAAGGTCACCTTACTTAGTCAACATATTGCAGATGACAACATATATATTCCGAAATAATAGGTGGAAGTAGCAATGGGATAGTAACTGCTGTACTTGTAAGTAGAATTCTAGGAAGATGGATTGAAAAGATTAATTGATCACAGTGTGTATATCAACAAGAACGGGAATTTACTAATGACTAAATAATGAGAGGAATGAAGACAGAAAGGAGCATTTGTGCAGCTGATTGTTGCATGTACAGAAACGGGTTGAGAATTGCTGTGTTAATTATTAATCTTTTCAGTTACTACTTTGATGGACACACCGCTAAACTGAAAGACTTTTCTAACTATTCTATAATAGATCATCTTATACCTGAAATACACACAGTGATGAGTACGATCCAAAGCTATCATGGTCTGGTGGCGTGGCTAGGGGAGACCTCGTCTGGTTATGGGGGTGGCACACCTGGCATAGGCAACAGATATGTGGCTGGCAATCTGTGAGCATTTTAGTTATCTTACTGATTTTAGAGTTATATTTCTTTCTGATTTCGATTGAAACTTTTTCTGGCTCACACAAAACTATCAAAGATCGAATACAGCATACGGATGTCAGCGAGAACACCTTCGAGGGAGTGCTAGCATACGTTGATGTAGATGCAGATTGTCAATACATGCTTGATAGGTGGTGATGATTGGTGTTCTTAGGTCCGTTGAAACTCGAAATAATGAAAAATAATTGTAAATCGTGTCGATTTGACGTGTAGAAGTTCACGTTTACACGGGTATTACACGACGCTGCTGCTGATGTCTGAAGCGCCTCTGCCAAACAATTCTATATTGCTGAAATATTGCCGATGTGACGTTAAATCTTGACTCACTCACTCACTCACTCACTGTAAACAATTATATTTCGTTTTATTATGATGCAAAAAGTGGCATGTTTTGAATGGATCACTGTGTGTGTATGTAATATAAAAATGTTGACTGTCATATCCTTATTCCAGGTGGCTTGATAAACTTGGTGTTTCAGCAAAATACGGCTTAAAAAGAGTCCTTCGCCAGTCACTCTTCGGAGGGCATTATTCACTTATTGACAATAACAACAACCCTACCCCCGTGAGTATACGTACATGTATGTACTGTAAACATGTCCTTAGGTCACGTTAACGATCGCCAACGTCATTGTGTCGGTGCTCCGTTGTCGGAATGCCGTATCATAAAAATTCAACTGTACCTGTGTGTAAAGGCCGACTGCAATGGGTTTTGGGTGAGCAGGTTGTTTGACTTGCATCATCCTATCACAGCATCAACTGCTGGTTTTCATGTCAAGACACATTTTACAGCTTAAATGACAACATTGCCTCTCTTATAGTGACGCACACCATTATGCCTTTTGACAGGACTACTGGTTGACGCTTCTTTACAAGAGACTTGTTGGCAACAAGGTATTTGATGTTCCATCTTCATCTAACAACCTCTGCATGTATGCCCACTGCACGAACCTTAACAAGTGAGTTGTTTAGTCACACACTTTATTCTAAACCTGTTGAAATAGTTTACTAACAAGCTTTCACCTAAATTGCACACAGACATTTTCCAACCTTCAAACAATGTACGAAATACCCATGACATCACAGTAGAAATCACAGACACAACCAACATTATAGCAAGGAATTAGAGTGAGTGATCGAGTTCAGTTCAACGCCGAATTTGAACACTATTCAAGTTATATCACGGCGTGTTATGGTATGGAAGCAAAGCACAAAGTGATGCAGGTTTAAAACCTCTTGTGAAACCCTCGAGCACCGGTATAGCCCTGACAAACCTAGAAACAAATTGGGGCGAATTCGGGATTTGAACCGACGATCATTGGTTTATTGCGAAACCAAGGGATGAAACTCTGCACAGAGAATTGTCGTGCCCTAGACGAGACCCGTACCTCCACTGAAAAGTAGTGCGTGGACATGCTTGGAAGACATGGATACATTTAATTAAAGTAAATGTACAATTTGGTTTTTCAGAGACAAATAATGATGATCCCAGAAAAGCAATTTTCTAACTCCTCCGTAGCACTACTTCAAAATACTTTTCAAACAAAGTCAACATTCCAAAATATTCAAGGTAAACTTCATAGATCTGGTACGCATTTCATCTAATTGTGTAAATGTTCTACATGCAATAAATGTATGTTTAACACAACAACAACAACATTATATCAAAGTTAAGATAGACACAAACATTGAAATTAACAACACAATTACACCTTTGCAAAAAGCTGTCAGCTCATTGACTCTTATGACATCCTTACATGTCGCCAACTGAATTGTACGGAAAATTCACAAAATGGCAATTTGGCAAATCAAATGGCTAGATTTCTTGGATATGCATATGTCCTGAATACATTTCATTCGAGTTCACAAGCTACAAAGCCCTTTTTCCATGTAATGTTTTTATTCCACGTGACAATCCTGTGGCTGCCAGCAGAATCTCAGTATAGTGACTATGCGTGTGAACAGAGCGATTGTGACCTAACAAACAAATGACGTCAGATCACACAAAATGACGTCATGTCCGTCATTTGCATGGACGGTAAACAAAACAGTGACTGGCAAAACAAATAACTGGATTTCACGAACGTAATGCTAAATATCATATATACTGACATTTGTTATGACATCATCGGTTTATGTTTCAGCGTGTACAACTACATGCCTGGCAGTATCACAGTGTATGCCCTTAACCTAAATAGTGACCCCGTAATCCTTACCATATCGGATCTCAACATCAAAAGCGTGGACATATTCTGGCTGACTCCAGAGGGAGGAGATTTGAAATCACAGTTTGTATATAATTTGTTTTCTTTCAACCATTGTGCTTAATGATTTTTCAAGTATCACAAACTCATGAGTCAGAAAATATTTCATTGTGAATGTTGTCAAATGCCGAGGATAATGATAAGAGGAACAGACATAGGTGAGTAATATAAGACCTTTTGCTGATGACACATCTTTGTATGTGATCATAGGAGATCCTGATATAGCTGCTCATGGTCTAAATAATGACTTGGACAGAATTTCGGAATGGGCTGCTAGATGGCAAGTTACATTTAGTCCCGAAAAATCTTAACCTATTCAATTTACCCTTAAAGTAAACCCAAGTCGCAAACCTAAATTATATATGAAAGGTACACAAATCGATGATGTGCAAAGCCATAAAGCACCTTGGTATTACTTTACAAAGCAATTGTACATGGAAAATGCACATTGATGATATTGTTAGGAAATGTTATCCTCTGGTTAATTGTTTAAGAAGTTATAAATATCGTCTATTACGAACTACCTTAGAAACTATGTACAAATCATTTAATTTAGCAATTTTTGATTATTGTTACAACTGTACCAATGAACAAGCTTACGTATTGGAAAAAGTACATGCTCTCAGAACCATATTTGGCGCTGTCAAAAGTACGAGTCATCAGAAGATTTACAATGAAAGTAATTACAAGACAGAAGATACAGTTCAAAACTGGTTATATTTTACAAAATGAATAACCATTTCTCCCCGAAATATCTTTGTAGACTTATTCTTAATACAGTTTCGGAAAACACAAATTATGACTGAAGGGATAAAACTAATCTTCAAACAGCGAAGTGTAAAAAACAAAAGCTTATACAGATTCATTTATACCAGTTACAACACAACTGTGGAATATGTTACCAGAAAACCTGACGGGGGCCGTTACACAATTTAAGAATTTGCTTCACGTAATGGGAGATAATGGTATACACTGGGATTTAAAGTATGGAAGCAGATTATATCAAATTATTTACATTCGCCTCAGGCTTGGCTGCAGCGATCTTATCGCAAATCAGTATGATAGATATATCTTTGACACAAAAACTTGTCCCTGTGGATATCATACCGAAGATACTTTACACTTCCTTTTTTTGTGTACACATTACTATGTTCTTCGAAATGAAATGTATTTTTACCAACATTGTTGTTTTTTACAAACAGTGTTATGCGGAAATTCGTATTTGAATAAGGAAGAGCAAATTCTGATATTAGATTCTTTTCAAAAC